TGGCAGTCATGAAACTGCTTCTTACAGCTCTCCATCTACAGAGAGTGAGTGACAGTCCTAGCTGGTGTGCTTAGATACCCATCATGGCAGCAATCCTAAGGCAGGTTTGTTCCTGGGAGAGACAGGACTTCTCTGATGGGCAACTTTGGCTCAAGGGTTCCCCTTTGGCCTTGTCAGTCTTTTCTAGAGATGCTCTGTAGTCTAAGACTTTTCCACTTTATCTTCCTTCAGTCCTTTTCTCCTTCATAAGGGGCAGATCTGAACTTCTCAGGATATGAATTTTACACTCTGGCAAGGACTCTAAGCAATGGGGGCAAACTCACTGCTGGAGTGGCTCTCAGAGTTTGGAAAAAGCCAGCACTCAGTGACGTAGAAATACTTCAGCTGTCCTGGCAAGTGGCAAAGAAAGGAATAAAGAAGCTGCACGAAGTAGGGATGCTGGAATTTTATGAAATCAGACAACCCACCAGAACTTATGTTCCATGGGAGAGCCCAGAGAACACAACACTGACCAAGGTTACTGGGAATGTTCTGGTAAAGGAATGGGTGCCATCAAGACTAAGAAGTTTCATTGTGGGTGGCTGGCAAAAGAAGTCACAGAGCTGGGATTATTTATATCCATGGTGATGATGGTCCTGTTATGTCTCCACTTAATTCACTAGTCTGGCCCCTACAGAAACTAGATTGCTCATGTTTAACCAAGTTGTGGACCTGATTGAAGCTCTGAGAAGGACAATGTATCAGAACTGGAGTAGATTAATAAGGCCTCAGGTACACGGTATGTGGCCAGTCATTTGAAATGCATTTTTTCCCACAAAAATTAAACAAGAAGATCAGAAATAGCTTGCATTCATGTGAGAGGGACAGCAATATATATTTACAATTTAGCCTTAAGGCCATAACTTCTCTTTTCTGTCATAATATTGTCTGAAGAGATCTGGACCACTTGGATATCCCATGGACTACAACACTGATGCATTATAGTGATGGTATCATGCTGATTAGGCATGCTAGCAAGAGCTGATCAGCATGCTTAAGCCTTATGAGATATATACATTCCAGACAGTGGAAGACAATTATACCCTATGAAAATTCAAAGATTTGAATTTCATTGAGGTTTTAGGGGTCCAGTGGCCAGAGGCATGCTGGGGTATTCACTCCAAGGTATAAGACACATTGCTGCATCTTGTATCCCATATCACAAAGAAGAAAGCACAGCACCTGGTGAACCCGTTTGTATTGTGTTCTGAAGGTAACACATTATACTTCCAAAAATACTCTTCCAACCCATATCTCAGGTGACACAAAAGCTGCCAGCTTTGAGGGAGACCTAGAGCAGAAAACGATTCTTCAGTCAGCTCAGGCTAGATACAAGCAGCTCTGCTACTTGGGCCATATGGCACCTTAATCTTTGTGGTATCAGAGTTATCAGTGTGGGGAATAAATGCCCTGGTAAGAGAATCACCACACAGATGCCTGGGGATCTGGAGTAAGGCTATAGCATTCACAGCTGAGATTTATACACCATTTGAGAAACAGCTCCTGATGTGTTACTGGGTCCTACTGGAAATGTAATACATAATCACAGGACACTATGAGACCATGTGTTCAGAATTGCACATTATGAACTGAGTTCTGTCAAATCTGCCATGTCATAAAGTCAGATGTCCCTGGTAGAATTTCACTAGATGATGGAAATGGCACACCCAGTATCAAAGGACCATAAGGCACAAGCAAGCTGCATGAACAGGCAGCCCAGATTCTGTGTCACCTACCATCATTGTACCAGTGCCTCTCCCCAGATCACACCTGTGGCTCCACATGGGTCCATGTGACCAGCTGAAGGAGAAGGAAAATGTCTACATTTGGTTTACAGATGGTCAGCTCATCTGACAATGGATGGAGACTGCCTTACAGCCACACTGAGGGGTGGCTTTAAAAGATTGTGGTGGTGGGAATAATTTTCCCAATGAGCAAAGCAGAAAGCGGTGTAGCTGGTCATTCACTGTGTGAAAGGAGAAGTGACCCATGGTGTAAACAGATATAGATTCCTGGGAAGTGTCCAATGAATCTGTCCATCTGGTCAGGGGCCTTGAAGGAAAAGGACTACAAGATGGGAAACAAAGAAGTCAGAAATGTAGATGGACACATGTGAGTGGGCATGAAGTGTGGAGATTTTTGCATTGCACATTAGTGCCCATCAGAGAGTATCCAATAGAAGAGACAATGAACAATCAACTAAGTAGGCAAAATGGTTGGAGCACTTGAATCCAGGCTTCATCACTGGCTCTCCAGAACTGGCATAAAGAGAAATAAATGGAGGCTAGGAATAGGTCCAGGAGCTCTGGTAGCTTAGTGCCTAAGGCACTTGACTGCTAACTAGAAGCCTGGTGGTTCAAACCCACCAGCCACTCCTCAGAAGGAAGATGGGGCAATCTACTTCCGTAGTGATACTGCCTCAGAAACCCAAGGAGGGGTTGCTATGAGTCGGGTCCGACTCGACGGCACATTACAACAACAGCAACAACAACAGGAATAGGTCCAGCAGCATGGACTTCTACTTACAAGGTAGATCAAGTTACCTCTGAGTATTCAACCAGTAAGCAAGAGAGACCAACACTAAGCCCCTGGTATGGCATTGTTTCTCAAGGAACCCAACCAGTACTTGTACTTGTGGCAAGTTGACTACACTGAGCCCTTCCTATAGAAGAGTCTGGTTCATCTTCACAGGGAGAGATGTATGTTCCAGATATAAGTTTATACTTCCTGTTCATAAAGTCTCAGCCAGCAACCTATCTGGGGGCTAATCCATGGACATGAGTCTGATGAGGGGACTCACTTCACAATGAAAGAATATGGGGATGGTCCATGATCATCATACCCAATGATAGCATCATGTACCACAGCCTCCCCAAACAGCTGGCTTCATAGAGTGCTGGAATGGCCTTTTAAAGGTACAGCTGAAAGCAACACAGTGTAAGGTTGAGGTTCCATCCTTTAAGATTAATTATCTATATCAAATCAGAAACCTCTATATAGCACTGTATCCCCAATAGTAAACATACATAGGTTTGATGGAAGCTTACCATCACCCCCAGTGACCCACTGAGGGGTCTGATGTTTTGTGAATCCATAATCCTGGGCTTCTTAGGGTTAAAGGTCCTCGTCCCTAAAGGCAATGCACCATTGCCAGGGCATAGCAAGGGTCAAACTACAAGTTATAGTAATAACTTATAACTTTATAACAGGGCTAGAACCAGAAGGTGAGAAAAGGAGTCATTGTGTTGGAGGGGTAAATGGCCCTGATCAGTTGGAGGTAGGACTTCTTCTATACCATGGAGACAGGGAGACATGTGTCAAATTCAGTGATTGGGTGATTCCTGGAACTTTCTTTCCCCACTATAACTATGACAATCCTAGCCTGAGAATGGTTTGATTGCTAAGGGCTTAGACTCTCAGGAATGAAGGTTTGGGTCATACCCTCAGGTAAGCCACCAAGATGTGCCAAGAAGATAGCCAACAGTGAAGGAAATTTAGAACAAACATTGGAAGAGGGAGAGAATGAGAACTAGTTGTTACCCTGAGACCAATTACAGTGATAGGCTGCGGTGCAGTGAATTACCTAATAATTACTTCTAGCCATAGTCTTCCATTTTGTGATGTATTGCAAATCCTAGCCTCTATGCCTGTGGTTATGGGCCCATTTTGGGGTGAGTTGTCTCTTACATTAATGAGGCAGGATTAGGGTAGGATTTATTTTGTGTCCTGCCTTACTAGATGGTGTGACTCAAGTCACCACCCTGAGCCAATATACCGTGAGGATATATATATGAATGCTCTGGCAAAGCTCTCTCTCTTATTCTGGATTCTGCTTCTGGTTCATCATCATCACATCCCTAGTCCTGGGAGCTTGAGACAGCTGCCAGTCATTTGACCTGCCCATTTGGGTTTCCCAGCCCCTCCCTGCAACCACGTGAATGAGGAGTATCCTCCAGACCAACGCCTGACACATGGATTTGGGACTTGCTATCCTCCACAATCATGTGAGCCATTTTCTTGTCAGTTCATGAGTTCTGTGAGACTTTACAGCAAAATACGGAACCCTAAGATGGGCAGGAAAGTACTAAGGGGAGGAGGAGGAGTTGATGTCGGAGATGATGGAGTGGTACAGCAGTTTGGAAAAGTTGGACTTTTGGGACATCTTTAACCTCTGCTTTACAGGGGTCAACTTTGTGCTGATCCTTCTAAAAGAAATGATCAGAGCAGAGGCTGTATTTTGTCCCACTAACCTCTCTCTTTGGAGTTTCCCTTCAGGAAGAGAGACTAATGCGAACCAAGGAGGAACTTCTTCCCAATTCCTTGTGAAGGAGTAGATGTGAACAGAACAGGACAACCTTGCAAATAGGCTCTCAGATTCCTGAGGGGCATGTAATTGACTGTTGGCCTCAGCTGCTGCCCCTCTTGGATCCACCACCAGGATTGCACCAGGCACAATTCCTACAGGCTGTTCTTAGCCAGTGACTGAACATGGCAGGGATACTAAGGTAGGCCTGGTTTTGGCAGAAGCATGACTACTCTGATGAATGAGTTTTCTTGAGGACTTCCCATCAACCTTGACTAATTCTCTAAGAACTGCATTGCAGTCTAAGACATTTCAACCCATCCGCATTCCTTCCTTTTTTTTTTTCAGATGCAAGTCTGAACATTGTGGTGCGATGGCTCTCCCTGCCTTCCCTGGCTCCTTGAAAAATCTCCTGCTTAGCTCATTGTGCTTGGCATTTGATACTCAAAGGACCTGGGCTAACACAACTTACAACAGGTGAGGAAACCAAAGCTTGGGAAGGGTGCATCTCAAATACCTGCAGTGTGTACACTCAGAATTGAGACAGAGACCCAGATCTTCTGACTTCTATTATAGCCCCATAGAGATAAGCATGCATGTGGCCCTGCCCCATCTCTAGATCACTCAGACCCCTGAACTGAAAAATAAAGTCACTCACCTGATGAAATCCCAGGTAGTCTTGGACTGTGGGAGAGACATAAAAAACATAGCCATCTTCTGTAACAGCCATGAGGAATCCATTGAGGGCCTGGGGGAAAGGCATAGAAGAGAGTGAGTTGAGGCTTATTCATTATTTTGTCTTAAGTTTTTGGGCAAGTGGAGCTCCTGAGGGCCTGGGTCCAGGTTTTAGGTATTTCTGCTGAGCCTCTTTTCTGTGTGTGAGTTGTCACTTTTCATTCTGTGAGTTGTCACTACTTAAAGTGGTCCCAGGATCTCCAATTGGTCTGGTTTCTCAGAACAGTTCAGCTTAAATAGCGCTCACTCACACCAACTCTCAAGGAAAAGCAAGCGTGTGTGTGGCAGTAAACAAGAGAAAATTTCTTCTCCCCTCAATTTCAATCTACTGAGAACACTGTAAATTGAACAAAAATTAAACAAATAAACAAACACACATATAAAGCAGCTCCTCCATGAAGAAGATCAGATACTATTCTAAGGAAGAGTTGGAGATTTTAAATTACAGAAGAAAAAGAGTCACATTGTTTTGCTTTACTCTCTGCATCTCCCTAGTGAGTCCCACACTGGCCAACAGGCAGGCCAGTAGCCCCACATGTGTGAGGAGAGGGACAGGAGCCACTCCTCAGAAGGAAGACTGGGTGATCTACTTCCATAGAGATATTGCCTTAGAAACCCGAGGAGGGGTTCGCTATGAGTAGGAACCGACTTGACAGCAGTGAGTTTGTCAGTTTTTCTAAAGTTCACAACCACATGTCATAATCTCTTCCCAATCATGAGTCTTGCTCTTGAAGTTGCATCTAAATTCATGGGGACTTGCAAAGCACCAAGGTTTAGGAGCTGGAAGGCATCTGATCAGGGTTGCCCATGCTGGCAACTTCTGAGGGATTTGTGTTCCCTCCTGTTCTCTGGATGTGCATCTGTGCAAGCCCTACTGACTTCCCTTGTTCCTAGTGTCTTCCACGTCCAGCTCCTCTCAGATTATCACAGAATAATTCAAGCTCTCCTGTCCACTATGGGCTGGGGAAATGCTGTGAGTATCCCAGGCACCCCCTGTCTAAACACCAGGCAATCAGTTTTTGGATCTTCTCACTTCCTTGAGTTTTACCTAGAAGGGAACTAATAAAGTTTTTAATAGCCATATTTATTAATTTTATCATGAAAGCACAAAATTACTGGGGCAGAGCAGATGAATTATTTACTCACAGGCAAACAATAATGATATGGTTCCCCTTGGTAATCCTTGGGCGATGTGATGAAAGCAGAGGTTATCTTACTCATGCATCAGAGGTTATCTTATTCATGCAAACCAGTAGCTAAGCAAGAATGCAGAAATATGCATTTTGGTATTTACATACACATGGTTCCCATCCTCTCCTGAAAGGGGAGAAAAAAGCCTTTGATCCTTGAAAAGGGTTTCAAGTTCTTACTCTGATCACTGGGAATGTAAATAAATTTTCCAGGAGAAAGATAAGACTACTGCTTTACAACTCTGGGATATCTCCACGTTCCTGGATCTCAGACACAACCTACCCCCACCCCCTAAATTTAAACAAATCTCTAGAGTTAGATAATCTCTTTGTAGTTCTTACAATCTATAGACTTGTAAATTAACTTCTCAGCCTTGCTCTTTCACGCCAGGTTCCGAGTTTCAGTAAGATTTTCTCAGAAACTCCTAACTATGCAGAAACATATATTGTCTACTGTCTCACAGAGACCCCTCTCAGTGTGGGGATTTCTTCAAACCTATCTGAGGTTTCTTTCCCCACCTTCGTCCTTCCCTAGCTTTCTCAGGGACCAGTAACACAAACTTTCTTCACCTCTTTTGGTTCTGTACTCCACACACTAGAGAACTTTTTTACGTCTCAGAGGAATGAAGCTATGCTTCTGTCATGTCATCCAGCATTGTCCTAGCTATTGTCTACCAAAACAAACAAACAAACTCATTGCCATCAAGTCAATTCTGACATACAGCGACCCCCGCTGAGTTTCTGAGGAGTGGCTGGCGATTTCCATCTATACGAAATAGAAATATTTTTCCTTTGTATATTTGTTTCAGGAGCTCTGGTAGCATAGTGCCTAAGGCACTTGACTGCTAACCAGAAGGCTGGCAGTTCAAACCCACCAGCCACTGCTCTGAAGGAAGGTTAGGCAATCGACTTCCATGGTGATACTGCCTCGGAAACCCAAGGAAGGGTCGCTATGAGTCGGGTCCGACTTGACGGCACATAGCACCACCACCACCAACATATTTGTTTCATTTACAAAGTTGGGATTTGATGGCTTACAGCCAGATTTTCATATCCAACCCTCCATTTGAATTTCACAGGCCTGGATGGGGAATCACCCCTGGGGTAACCATCAAGGATTGATGTCCAGGGTTTCTGACTTCTCCCAGCCATGTGGCACTGTGTGTGTAGAATTGTCCAAAAATGGGAAATGAGAGATACAATACTGTATTCAAAATGAGATATACAAGACTGTATTCAACCAAACATTCAACATGATAATTAAAGATAATTCAATAAGATTTGAAACAATGTGCTTTCTGGAAAACTCTGATTCTGCCATAATCTTAATCTGATAGGCAACAGAGATAGACTATATCATACAATACCTGAAGAAGCAAGTCTCCTTCAGAAAATAGCTCTGCATTGACTTGTGGAGAGCCATATTCACTTCCTGCTGGGTTGGCTGAACAGGCTGCACTGCTGTCCTTTAGGGTAGCTAAGAAAGAGAAAAGGTGTAATTAGGAACATATTTCCCCCACCCAGGGATGGAGAGGAGACTTCAGGAGGCCTTGGAAAGAATGTCAAGTGTGGCTCCATGTATTTGCACCTTGAGCTCTTCTTTAAAGATTCCATGTTGTTGTTGTTGTTATGTGCCGTCGAGTCAGCCCTGACTCATAGCGACCCCTCCTTGGGTTTCCGAGGCAGTATCACTACGGAAGTAGGATTGCCCAATCTTCCTTCCGAGGAGTGGCTGGTGGGTTTGAACCACCAGCCTTCTGGTTAGCAGTCAAGTGCCTTAGCCACTATGCTACCAGAGCTCCCAAAGATTCCATAGGAGTGGCCATATTTGATTGAGTAGCTGCCTCCTCCACTTGGGAGAAAATGGGAGAAAATCCCGTTTTAACTTCTGAGTTGCTTTTCCTATAGCTTCTGTGTAGGCAAAACAATCATTCTTCAAAGGCCAGCTTAGATTCCCCTCCTCTGAGGAGCCCTTCCTAAGCTTCCTAAAGTGAGAGCTGATGAGGAATAGGATATATCCTGTGTATCTCTTGAGGAAAGTTAGTTGTACCTCCCTCTATCTGCTCCCTCAGCATCACACAAAAAACAAAACAAAACAAAAATAAATGCCATCGAGTTGATTCTGACTTGTAGCAATCCCCATCAGGTTTCCAAGGCTTAAATCTTTATGGAATAGATTGCCTCATCTTCCTCCCACGGAGCAGCTGGTGGGTTTGAACCACTAACCTTCTGGTTAGCAGCCAAATGCTTTACCCACTAAGCCACCAGAGCTCCTTACCACCACATAGTCACTACTATTAAAGTGTGTGTCTTGGTGTCTAACTATTTCATTTCAGCCTTATCCATCAATTAAGTAGAAGTGCTTAACATCACTTGTTATGAAAAATTGCAGTCCCAGATGCTCTTCCCTTGTTTCATTACCTTGTCTGCACAAATTGTCCTTGGGGAGTTCTGGCAATGAGCTAGAAAAAAATGAGCCAAGAAGTCTTTGCCATTTACATTTCTAAGCGTTATTGTTAACTATGGATAAGACAACACAGGTCACAGATGTATTTAGCTGAGTAAATACAAACAAAATTTATTACTAAGGCAGAAAAAGAATTTTACAGTTTACTTGTCTGAGCCACCACCTGCTCTGGCTGGGTGAAGGCAGTAGCTTCCTTCAGGGTCTCCCTACTTCTTTTGTCCCAAGCAATCAAGTCTCCAAACAGCAGCTGGCATGACAGTTTTTAAAATTATAAACTGATGCTGCCACTATCCTCCTGAAAACCATCCAGAGGGCTCACATCATACTTAGAACAAAATCTAAAAGTCATGACTCTCATATATTAAAATTCCATTTGGTTGTAATCAAAATATCAAAAAATCAAAATAAGGGCAGCTTACAACAGTACAAGTTTATTTCTCTCATACAGTCTCAGAAGTGTGTAGTCAGGGCTGTGTGGCTGTCCTGCTTCGTGAGGTTCCCTGGGCCCAGCTCTCTCAAACTTAACTCTGGGCCTGGCCTCAGAACCCAAAGCATCATTCAGTTCTGGGAAGAGGAGGGTCCAAGGAAGAAAGGTTGAGGGACCAGTTCTCACTTTAGGAAGCTGCTACCTGACTCCTTTGCTTAAAGCCTATTGCACAGAGCTCAGTCACATGGTCACACTTGTAGCAAAGTAATCTGGAACCATGTCCTTTTCTGGGTAGCCATGTTATTGCTTTCTGTATCTCTCCAGGAACTGACCAGCAGCAACAGCCTCTGACTACATCACCTGCCACATGAGCAATTGCACGTCCATATCAGCCACACAAGCCTTATGGCTGTTTCCCACACAGGCCACACTCATTCTATGCCAGCAACTTTGCTTCTTCCCTCTGCTTCCTTGCAGTTATTCACCGTCTGTTTTGCTTACCTACCTAGTGCCACTCTAACAGAAGATACCATAAATGGGATGGCTTTTACAAACAGGAGCTTATGCTTAGAATTTGGAGGCTTTAAGTCTGAGTTCAAAGTGCCAGGCTCTAGGGGCTGGGTGAAAGCTCTTCAACCTTGGGCTTCAGCTCTGCTTCCTGCTCCCAGACCACTGAGGCTGGGGGCTTTTCTTGACCCAGCTGCTGGCTGCTGAGGCTGACAAACCCAAGGTTGACAAGTAACAAGACACAGTCCCAATATTACCAAACTACACAGCAGGCCATTAATTCAAGTCAATTCAAAGTCCCAAGATTGGCAGAGCATGGCAGGCTACTGAACAACGACTTGGTTATATGCAGGGTTCCATCTAATTCTTCTGGTCTCATAGTCATATAGGCTGCAGATCGGATGGTGTACCAGTTGCTAGGACTAATTATTTCCATGAATTTTTGTTTTCTTCATTCTTCCTTGCTCTGCATGAGGAGAGACCCATCGTTGCATCTAGATGGCAGCTTGCTAGCTTTTAAGATCCCAGTCGCTACTTGCCAAAGTAGGAGGTGAAACAA